TATGTGTAGCTCAGTTTATCTAATGTTTCCTTTTCATAAAGCTTTAAAGGAATGTAAAAATGGATTATTTGCTTACTAAATTGATTCATGTCAGTGGTTCCCCTTAAACTTCATCTCCCTAGATATTTGCCAATGATATTTCTGATAAGGAGTTATTATCCAAAATTTATAAAACACTCATTCAACTCAACACCAAATAAACAAACAACCCAATTAAAAAATGGGCAGAGGATACGAAGAGACAGTGCTCTAAAGAGGACATAGAGATGGCCAATAAGCATATGAAAAAATGTTCAAACTCACTAATCATTAGAAAAATGCAAATAAAATCCACCATGAGATACCACCTCACTCCGGTCAGAATGGCTATCATCAATAAATCAACAAACAAGTGCTGACGAGGTTGTGGAGAAAAGGGAACCCTGGTGCACTATTGGTGGGATTGCATATTGGTGCAACCACTATGGAAAGCAGTATGCAGGTATCTCAAAAAACTGGAAATGGAACTACCTTATGACCCAGCAATTCCACTCTTAGGTATTTATCCAGAGAAACCCAAGATGCTAATTCTAAAAAAATATATATGCACCCCTGTTTATCTCAGCACTATTTACAATAGCCACGACTTGGAAACAACCAAAATGTCCATCAGTAGACAACTGGATTAAGAAACTGTGGTACATTTAAACAATGGAGTATTACTCAGCTATAAAGAAGAATGAAATCATACCATTTGCGATATGAATAGACCTAGAGAACATTATGTTATATGAAATAAGTCAGAGAAAGACAAATACCATATGACTTCACTTATGTGTGGAATCTAAACAATTGAATAAACGAGAAATGTAAACAGAAATAGTCTCGGAGATATAGAAGAAAAACTGATGGTTGCTAGAAGGGAGGGGGTGGGGGTGAGGGAGAAGGAGAAGGGACGAGATAGCATAAATTGGGGACCACAATATTGCCACAGGGATATCAAACAGTTCAGGGAATATAATTAGTAATGTTGCAAATATTTTGTAGGGTGGCAGGTGGTCATATGTCTTGATAGGGAGACCACTTCATGGATGGTGTAGAGGCTTGACCACTGCACTGTACACATGAAACTGAAGCTGAATGATATTGTATGTCAACTATAAGTGAATATATACATATAGTCAGGGGACGTGGAGTAGAGAGTGGGGAATGGAGTCAATGGAATTGTAATAGATAAGTATGATATCGGGGGGTGAGGAGTGGGGTGATGGATTGGGGGAGGGAGGTTGTCACTTTGTGAGGGGTAAAAAGTATAACTATTGCACTGTTTTGTATACCTGAAACTAATAAAAAAAAACACAAAACTTCATCTCTCTTACTCATTCACAAGCCAGATTAATCACTTAATCAGCTTTCTTCTACCACATTTAATAAACTTTCTATGTACTTTATATCTATCTATCTTCAAGCTACATATATAAAAAACATAGTCATATGTATGACTATGACTGAAGAAAGGTGATAAATATGGTTTGCGAAATATATATACACACATATATGTGTGAATATACATATATATACATATATATTTCATAAAAATATGAAATATATATAAACTCATTCAGGGTACTATGGCAGTGATTTGACTTCTGACAAGATCAGTTCTATACCATATATGTGTATTTAGGAAAATAAACTGAAGATGGGGATAGGGATGGGAGATTTTATATTTTACATTTGTAATTTGTTTTTACCGTAAACCACAGCAGTAACCAATACTCACTAAATGCTGATAAAAATGAAAACGGCTGCTTTTGCAAGGTTGTGCATTACTGCTAGATCTGGAAAGCTTAACTATCTCGTGTGGGAGGGGGAGGAAGTGGGGCATGGAATTGGGGCAGGGGAGAAGCACCCTACAGCTGCCCCAACACCCTTCCAAAGTCAGCCTTAGTGTCCAGCCTGAATGTGGGGGTTTTCGACAGGTTTGGGCACAGAACATTGAATCACAGGATATCACATGGCTTTTTGATCAGACTAGGTCATTTCATGTCTATCACTGTAGTAGTAAATCACCCAATAGAATGTGTCCCCAGCTTAGGAACTACTGCTGTAGTAAAGAATGCCTTAAAGCCTTCAACTGCATTTTAACTGCCTAGTACCAGGTTCTTAACAATCAAAGATAAATGAACCGCCCTTGCCTTTAGTGCCAGTGAGGGGAAAAAAACACACATGCACACACCCTGGGGGAAGGAAAGGCAGCAAGAATGAGCTCTCCTGAGTAGTGCAAGCGAGGGGGGAGAGGCTCATCTGGCAGTTTGTGGGAGTAAATCTAATTATCAGTCTCTTACTTTCATTAATAGGTTGGAGCAAGTTAACTTCTCAAAGGAAAAAGAAGTAGACATTATGCCTGAATTCATGGACTGCATTATGAACATTTAAGTATCATTTTCACAAAAAATAGTTATTCTATAGGTCCTTCATGAAGCTGGACAAGTGAGCAAGAAGAACATCAACTATGAAAAAGGCAAAATAACTGGCAAAACATGGTATACTTATAGAGGGGAGGGCCAGGCATTCTGAAAAACTGGAGGGTACACTTTTATAAATTCTAATCTACCTCTGTGCAGTTTAACTAGCTAGACTGACCCTCGGGGGAGAAGTTTCACTGTAATCCATTTTAACCCATTCCTGTAATCTGGTTTAATTTCTCCTTTTCCACCAGTGGTCTGGTGGTAAGCATTAACTTGCATGCAGTCTACATGTTTCTTCATCAATATTTTTGTTTTCTTAGCCTCACTAGACAGAAATCGGATGATGACTATGAAGACTATTCTTCTAACAAAACATGGGTATTGACACCCAAAGTTCCTGAGGGTGATGTCACTGTCATCTTAAACAACCTCCTGGAAGGCTATGACAATAAACTTCGCCCTGACATAGGAGGTATGTTACAGTCCTGTGGAGTCAGTGTAGAGAGAACACCATAAACATGGCTGCCACATTCGAAGAAAACGCCAGCGTATTTCAACAGCCAGAATTATTTAAATTATACTTTTATTATATATTATAAGAACAGAGAATGTATAAATAGCATTCCATCCTGGGGGAGGTGGGGGCATTGATAAGTGATGAAAGATAAAGAAATAAAGATGATTTTTCAAGTGAGATTTGAGAGCTAGAAACTCAGATTTTCCTAGATATCCCCAAAGGCTGTAGAAGAAAAGCGACAACTTCTTTCTGAAGTGACATCAAAAGCAAACCAGCAAATCATGGTAAAGAAAGGATATGCTGGTTACCTATTGCTGCGTAACAGATAATCACAAAATCTCAGTGGCACGTAAGAAAATAGGTATTTACTTAGCCCTTGGTGGTGGGTTGTCTTACTTAATCTAAGCCACGCTGGGGCTGCTCATTTAGACAAGCTGTACTCTCATTCTACTCCCGGAACCAGCAGGCTAGCTAAGAGTAAGTCTTCTCATGATAACAGCAGAGAGCAAGAGAGAACACAGAAGTTCATAAGGCTTCATGCATTGGATTGGAACTTTCACACTCACTCCTGTCCATATATTCTTCACCAAAA